TAATATGATATATATATTATGTTAAATATTTATTAATTTAAATATTTGTTATTTTAAATATTTATTTTATGAAAAAATTACTTTTCATACCATTGATATGTTTAATATATATTTATATAATATTTTTTAGATATATGTTTTTTTCAATTTACAGAATTTGTAAATATTTTCGTGCCTTGCTTGGGTTTCCGAACGCATTTCAGTTTCAGTTGCCCTTTCCAAACAGTTTGACAGCTACTACGTCAGATTATATTTCGTAATGGCGGACAGTGCAGGAAAAATAATCGAGAGGTTTGACAAAATATGTTAAACTTGTGTAAAAATATTGTGGCTCACATATTTAACAAATAAAAAATTCGATTTTCAAGTAATGTTTCCTTTGGGGCATGAATAAAACAAGTTTCTGTGCGTATATAAACTAATTTTGTGTTGAATGCAAAACGCGTAATTTTTGTTTGCTTTAACGCGCAAAAACATGAGAGTGCATTTCTGAAGAGAGCCAAAATCAAAGCAGAAAGCAACAAAACTGACAATCGCTGATTGAAAAAAATTTCTGTTGAAGCAAATCAGAACTAATTTGCACCAAATTTATTAACAAGTAGTATGTTTGCAAGTAATTTGCAAAAACTAAAATATTGATTCAACTCATAAATCATAAGAATTGTGTGCTTTGTTGGTGTGGACACATTAAGTAAAATTTTCAACAATGCCGGGCAGCCGAGATTCCAATGGTAGCAGTCCAAATAGTAATAACACTAATGGCTCTACGCCTGGCACACCGACATCCTCGACACCGCGCTCACGCGGCCGACCTGCTAAACGTGCCATGTGTACTTGGTGTGGGGAAAGTAAGCAGCAACTGCAGTACGTGCTGCCTACATTAAACGGCAAGAAGGAGTTTTGCAGTGAGAATTGCATTGTGATATTCCGCAAAGCATATAGCAAAGGTGCTTGCATGCAGTGTGACAATGTCATACGTGATGGTGCGCCCAACAGGGATTTTTGTTCCATGATGTGTATGAATAAGCACATGAAGAAGAATGGCCCAACACGTCAAAATAGCCACAATAACAACAATAACCGCAACGATGCTGAACGTAATAAAATGTCTATGGTTGGAGGTTCGTGCACGCCAACAGGTCCATTTCAATACGAGAGCTTTCACGTATTTGATTGGGAAGCTTATTTGAAAGTAAGTCTTAATAATTTAGTAAAGCGCTTCATTGGCACTAATTGAATATAATTTGTTTTGCAGGAATCGGGCAGTGAAGCTGCTCCGCCTAAATGCTTTAAGCAAGCACTTAATCCACCAATGAATGACTTTAAAATTGGTATGAAATTGGAAGCAATGGATCCTAGAAATTTGACATCTACTTGCATTGCTTCTGTTGTTGGAGTGTTGGGATCTAGATTGCGTTTACGTTTAGATGGCAGCGATAGTCAGAATGATTTTTGGCGCTTGGTCGACTCGAATGAAATTCATGCGATTGGCCATTGTGAGAAGAGTGGAGGAATGTTGCAGCCACCACTTGGATTTCGCATGAATGCCTCCAGCTGGCCCGGTTACCTCTGTAAAATTTTAAATAATGCAATGGTAGCACCTGAAGACATCTTCCAACCCGAACCAAAAAAACCAAAGGAGAATCTCTTCAAAGTTGGGCAAAAGCTCGAGGCGGTCGATAAAAAGAATCCTCAACTGATTTGCTGTGCGACAGTTGATGCGATTAAAGACGACCAGATTCATGTGACATTTGATGGGTGGCGTGGAGCATTCGACTACTGGTGCAGCTACGATTCCAGGGATATATTTCCTGTTGGTTGGTGCGCTCGTAGTTGCCATCCTATGCAACCGCCTGGCCATAAATCTCGCATGGAATCAAATTCGAGTAAACACCGAACCACTCGTCAACGCATTGCTGAAACGCGAACACAGGAAATTGATTCGATGTTGCCAGCTTCACCAGTTACAGCACATTTTCGCATCAATTGCAAGGGTGGACCATTTATTAACAGTTCTAAACTACCATCAATGGTAACTGGACCCACACATCTGACATTGGCAAAGCTTTGCTTGCAAGAAGTGTTAGCAGCCAGTACAGATAACCAACAACTTCAGAAGCTATTATTTGCATTGGATGGTGATGTGTGCATAGTGCCGGCAGCTGGTAAAAGTTATACGGTAAGTAAATTATTAAATTTTTGTTTCTGACCTAATAAACTGAACGATATATTTCTATATATTTTTTATGACAGGTTAAGATACCATCACAATTGCGAAACAAAGATGATGAAAGCTTGGCACAATTCATACAAACACTCTGTGCTACATGCAGGGCATGTCCAAATTTAATTTCATTAACGGCTACGACTGAAGAGTGCGAAAAATGTATAAACAATAAGAAAAAGCATAATCCAATAACGCCACCAATTTCACCAGCTCTACCTGAAAAACGTAAAGCTATCAAAGTGGAAAATGTGGAAAAAGTGACAAGCAGTTCAACTGTAAATAATGGCGCAGCTAATGATGCAGAATCAAAGCCAGCGGAGAAAAAATTAAAAATTGATGTTAAATTCAATGTAAATGGTACAAATAAGCAGGTTAGTATTAATGTTTTGAAAGTAATTTAATAAATAGTTTTAATGAATTAATTTGTAAACAAAATAGGCAAATTCTCCTGTTCAAGTCTTACGTCCAATGCGACATCTTCATACGAATCAACAGGATGATATGAAGTCAACAACAAACAGCACAAATAACAGCAATCAAACAACAACTAATCCAATAACAACAAATCAATTAACATCTAATCATAATTCGAATGTAAAATATATGGCACCACTTGTAGCAGAGGTTCATCCAGAGCAATCCAACACGGCGACAAATAGTACGTCCAGTTACAAATCACCATCGGTGCTCTCTTCAAGTGCCTCCTTGCCCACATCAGTGGCAACACCATTCAGCGCTTCGCAATCAGGTACTTCAACAGCTGTTGTTGCAAATCCAGTAACGGCTGTACAAGCCACAACAACAACCGCTGGTACATCGACTATGACCACAACATTAACACCTTTACGTACACATCCTGGCGAATGGTCGACAGATGATGTTATCTACTTTCTACGAACTAATGATGATTCTTTAGTTAAATATGCGGATCTCTTTAGAAAACACGTAAGTAAAAAATTTGACTTCTAATTAAAAGTATATAATATTAAAAGTATATATCCAATTGCAGGAAATTGACGGTAAAGCCTTTATGCTGTTAACATCGGAAATGATGGTTAAATATATGAATTTAAAACTAGGACCAGCCTTAAAAATATGCAATTTAGTAAGTAAGTTGACTGGACGTCGTCAAAATATGACTTTGTAAATATATACTAAAAAACCAAATATCAAAAAATTTGATAGAATTAGGTTTAAAGTCAGGTTTGAAGTTTGTAGTGAAGTTTAAAGCTTATTATTATTATTATTATTTTCGAAAGAATTAGTGAAATTAGAATTTTTTTATAGTTTAATATTAATTATATATCAATTCTTTGATGGATATTTTACTTTAATAATTTAATGAATATTTGATTTAATAATTTGATAACATATTTTTTAGTTGATTTGTAATAAGAAATTAAATATTATTTTGTTTATATTTCAAACTTTTAACATTCGATAAAATTAATTTTGTGTATTATTTAAGTCATTTATGAAGTTCAGCATCTTTTGAAATTATTGAACGAATTTGTTCCTTTATATATGTAGATATATATAAATTTATAATAACTATTTATCGATTTATTTTATATTATATTTTCAATTTTGCTATTTAAACATAGAAAAATAAAATGCATAAACGAAAGTACACAAATTTAGAGCAAACGAAAAAATTTTCTTTAAGAAATACAAAAAGTTATTAAACGTGAACATTGCAAAAGCATATTTGTAATAACACTTAATTAAAAAACATTATATATAATTTAAAGGCTTTATATTAAATTATAAAATGTATATATTTTAAATTATAATAGATTTGTTTAGAAAAAGAAAGAAACAAAAACAAAAAAAATTATTTAAAAATCATAACTCAAACATTTATTTCAATGTAATTTATTAACTCATTAAATATTAATTAAAAATTAAATATGTTTACCTGAAGTATGTAGAGACTTGAAAAATATAGATATTAGTTATGAAAATAAAATGAAATATATATAAACATCTATTCATTAACAAAGCAATAAGAACTAATTTAAATAAATAACATTTTGAAACGCATAAAAAATATTAAGAATCGTTATATTAAAATGTTCGCACTACTATAAAACACTTTAAAACAAAAAGTGCGATGAAAATTTTTGAAAGTTTATTTGTTTTTATTTTTATTTCAATTATTTCATGAAGCATGTTTCGATTACATATATTCTTTATAGTACATGTTATTATAATCCATTATATGTGCTATATTATTTTTCGACAAAGCTTTAACCTAATTACAATAATCTGCTTCGCCAGAGATTGATATTAACAATTTTTGTGTATTTTGCTTATAATCATAAAATGATGTTCAAAATTTATAACTTACTTTTTTTGAAGTTTATTATAATTTTTTACTTATAAAGCTCTTCTTTTTTTTGCAAATGAATGAAAAAATTTTTGTTCAAACAGTACTAATATTTTTTATGTATTCACACCGTATATATCAACATTGTATATTGAATTTACTTTTTAAAAATTTATTTCTTAAAAAAATAAGTTGTGTGTTTAAAAACACATTTGTGCTCCAATGTATATAAAAGTAATATATTTTTTATTAAATAAAAAAGAAATTGCTGTTAACTTTTTATATATGTTTAAATTTTGGTGCAATCGCATATATATATCATTGTATAAACAGCTTGTACATTATTGCTAAATTATATTTACTTTGCACGAATATATTAAAATATTTATTATGTTATAAATATATTTTTTTTGGTTCAGCAATAGAATTTGATTTTTTTATTTTTTAATACATTTTGTTACACTTTTTTATCATTTTTACTTTCTTTTTGATTTTTTTTTTATTAACTTTTTTGTATAATTATTTTTTTTTATATATTTATTATATTGTTAATTATTTTTTTTCATATTTTTCATTTTTATTGTGTTTAATTTCCTTTCTATATTTTATTTTTTTCTATATATTATTTTTTTCTATATATTATTTTTTTTATAAATTTTATATTTTTTTATATTTTATTTTTTTATATATTATTTTTTTATATATTATGTTTTTATATATTATTTTTTTATATATATATTTTAATTAACTTTAAACTTTTTAACTTTTTTGTATAATTATTTTTTTTAATATATTTATTATATTGTTAATTATTTTTTTTCATATTTTTCATTCTTATTGTGTTTAATTTTCTTTTTATATTTTATTTTTTTCTATATATAATTTTTTTTTTATAAATTTTATTTTTTTATATATTATTTTTTATATTTTTTTTTATTTTTGCTTATATTTTTTTTATATTTTTTTATATATTTTTTATATATTTTTTTTATATTTTTTTTATATTTTTTTACATATTTTTTTATATTTTACTTCTTTTAATTTTTTTTATATATTTATTTTATTTTTATATACATTTATATTTTATTTTTTTTATATTTTATATCTTATGTTTTTGATGTTTATTATATTTTTATTAATCTATTTATTATAATTTTAATATATTGTTATAATTATTTTAATTTTTTATTAATTGCATTATTATTAATATTCTTGCATATATTTTTTAAGTTTTTTGAATATCTTTAATATTTTTATATTATCAATTTATTTGTATACTTTTAGTTTTTTTTTTATTATTTTTTTTTTAAATTAATATTATTTTTTATATTATAATATTTTTATATTGCTTTTTTTTTATTTTTAGTTTTATTTTTTTTAAATGTTTGTGTTTTTCGCATATTTAATAATTTCTGTTTTATTTTTTTTTAATATATTTTTATTTTTAAAATTTTTTATTATATTTTTAAATTTTTTTGTATGTTTTATTTTTCTTATATTTATTTTTTTATATCTATTTTCTTATATCTATTTTTTTATATCTATTTTTTATAATTACTTTTTTTATAACTAATATTTTTTTATATCTACTTTTTTAAAATACATTTTTTTACATTTATTTTATATCTATTATTTTAATATCTTTTTTAAATATATATTTTTTATTTGTTTTAGATTTATTTATTACTTTTCTTATATTTAATTTTATAACTGTTTTTATACTTTTATACTTATTTTTTTTAAATATACTTTTTTACTTCTAAATTATTATTATTAGTTTTTTTTTTTAAATGATATATATGTCATTTGATATATATGATTTAATTTTTTTCATTTAACAAAATTACTTTTGATAATTAAAAAATCAACAAATTACTTGTTATCAATAACAAATTACTATAGATGAGCTTATAGTCATCAAGTTTGTTACTCTTATTTATTGTTGTATTTGTTGAAATCATAAAGTGTAATTAAGATTAAATCTCTCTTTTTTTTGTTCACGATTGTTTTTATTTCATTTGCATTTATTTTAATTTTTTGTTTTTCTTTTTTATCACTTTCTGTATATTTAAATTTATATTATTAAATCTTTTCTTTTTTTTTTATAAACAAAACTTTTTTATTTTTTTCATTTAATTTAATTAATTTTAAATTAATATAAACTCTAATATTAACATCCTTTACACATATAGTCTCATGTTATAATTATAGTCATTTAACTATATTTTTAAATATATAAAACTTATGCGTTCTCATACAATATTTAAAATGTTAACATCAAAAATTTATCCAAGACAGCAGAAATTAAATATCGTTTAAATTTAAAAATAAATACTGACACTAGCAGAGATAATGTTAAGGGAAAAGTTTAAAACTATTACACGGTTACACACATATTGAAAATTATATTCATTTAAAAACAAATAATTAGTTTTAAGTAAATGTAAATAATATATGTTAAATCAAAAGAAAAAATAAAAACAATAATAACAATAATAAAAAAGAGAAATCCTTGAACTCATATCCTAAAATACGCTTTTTTTTATATATTACTTAATTTTTAGCATTTTTTAATTAACATTTTGATTAATATATTATATATTGTTAGATACGTCTAATTTAATTCATATATAAAAATAATTTACTGATATATCTTTTAATTTCTTATGCAATAATAATAATTATTATTGCAAATTTTCTCTATGATAAATTGTCGAAGAATCAAGCTTCTTATATGTTAATTAGAAGCATATATTTATAAAGATGCATAAATAAATATACATATTTATGTGTAGATATATGTAATTTTATGTAGATATTTAAATTTCTCTATTCTCTCTCTATATTGTATTTATGTACAAGTGTATACTGTCGATATGTATATTGCAATCATTTATATATACTAGGGTGTGGGTATTCATTTTCAGACATAGGCATATAATAAGATCTACACTTACGTAGTTAACACACAAAAAACTGCTGATTATAATGCACGGGGAGGTACGCAGATCTTAGATCAATCACTGAATCATCATGAAGCTTATAAGGAATACATAAATTAGTCAATGAGATGGGTGGGACCCTATAGTACCCTCAGCTATCAAAGAGTAAAAGTGGCCAGTTGCGCTGACTCGAAAAAGGATCAACATACATACTTAACTAGATTAAGCAACTGATCTAAATTGGCAATTTCGACTAGAATAATTCATTTTAATTTATTAACAATGAGAGGCACATCATAGCTAAATATTCAATATTTCAATTCCAGTTTAATATATCTTACAAGATCAGAATATTGGTTTCATTTTATTAATATTGATAACAAATTTGATTTGATTTTTAACATCAGTTATGATGAAAGAAATTATTTTCTTAATAGAAATTATTGTTTTCAATAGAGGGGTTTTCTAACAGTAGTGAATTGCAACAGAATTTTTTTTTTATTATTATTTTTTATTGATTAAACTCTTCCTTTTCGAGTATTGTCAAATATCCATCATCTGAGAGCTCGATGATTTATATTTAATAATTCGGTAATCATTTTTCGAGCTTGCAAGTACCAATGGTTGAACTCGTACTCTGCCAAATTTGAAGCTCAAAGTCAGTGTTTATTATTTGACTGACTTGTATGTTCGAACTTGGTTTGTCGGACAGTAATTGAAAATAAAAATAATTTTTTATCAATTTTTATATTTTTTTCTAAATAAATATATTATTTTTGTTAAACTAAAATTAAATATCGTATTCATAACTTTCTCAATTATAGCATCAAAATAGTTCCTTTTATGAAAACGTGGTATTGAACTAGTTCTTCAAAATGATATGAACTATTCAAAAAAACTTTAATATGTGATCAAAAAGAGGTGGAGTTTTCAATTTAAAATAAAAATCTGTGTCAAATTTCATGCCAGACAGAAAGATAATTAAGTAATGTTTATAACGTCCTTTTTTGTTGGCAATTTCGAATGTGGTGTAAAATTGCATCCGGAGCAACGTTGAAAATGTAGCAGAAGACCATCGAAAACATGTTTAAAAGCAGTATAAACAATTCAAAGAAAGCTGAGAAAGCGTTGATGACTAAATAACCCCATTAACGATCAATATCAATTGAGAATTCAACACGTCAAGAAAATCAATGATTTGGTGCTCAAAAGTTCTGGATTCACATTTCGTTTGGATCAATCCAGACTATTTTAAAAGATATTTTGTATCAGAAGAGAGTAAAACCTCGTCAAGTAATGGAAAAATTGCGTCATCTTAAAGTGTTTCTGACTATCTGGATAAGACGATATGCATGATAAATGAAAATATTTATCTATTCAAATAAACCAAAAACAACTGCCCAATTAAATCGGTTCAAAATCATGAAAAAACCGAGACCATGTTGGCAGTTTTCTTCGATTATCGTTGGGTGGTGCATTATAAGTTCGTATCGTTGGGATAAACTGATGACAAGGAATAAGGAATATTATTTCAGCTTTTGACAAAGTTAAAGTAAAGCTATTTATATAAGAAGTCCAGAATTATTGGCAGACAATTGTTAGTTCTTGCATCATTGCAATGCACTGCCTGTAAACAATATGAATTTGCACTTCGAGACTATTTTGCAAAAAACTTAACTCAAATCGTTTTAAAACCATTGTATTTCCACGATTTAGCATTATGTATCCTCTGCTTCGCGGATATCGTCTTAATTAAAATTAGAAGACTAGAAAGTGATGGGTGCACGTTTTGAAGGACATTCCAAAAATCCACTTTGACTATTCATTCCAGTCATAAGTCCATTGTCACGAGAGGGGAGCACTTTGAAGGCGATAATATAGATTTAGCAAACTAAAGAAAGGCTTTGAAAGGTATAAATAATTTCACTTTATTTAATTATCGTAGTATTATCTATATTAAAATTTTAAATATTTTATTTAAAATTAAAATTATTATTTTGGGACGTATTTCGAATAGTATGAAATTACAACAATAAAATTTTATTATCATTATTTATTAATTTTTTTTTTTTTGTTGTGATTTAATACTATTTGAAATACCTCTCTATGAACACAATAGCTTATATTAAGACTTACGTTTTTTGTCAAGACGGACGTTAAAATTCAATTTAATTATTATTTTATATAAATTAATATAAATAATAAATTAATATTTCTAAAAGGTTCATTTCAAAAGTCAAATCATAAGTAGTTACGTATTAAATATCAGTTTAGACAACGATAGTAAATTCAAGGAATATTATATCGTAATTAAGAACAAAAGCATTTTTACTTTGAATTATTTATTTCAAATATTTTTTGGTCAGTTCTGATCTTAAAATCCAGTACAGTTTCGTCAGTTAATTAATGTACAATACACATCTACAATACTAAATGAAAACAATATTCTCTATAAGTTTTATTAAGGAGCGAGCATTAAACTTCATATCGTACAAATTCTTCATTCGAATTTTGTAATTAATCTGATTTTGGAAAGGGTGACTTGGCCCACTTAAGACTAGCGTCTATATTTTGGGGTAGTTTTATAAAGTTTCGATAGTTGTAAATGGCAGTCGAATTAAGAATTTTTGAAGGTAAAAGGAACACATGAACATTGTATTTTCAATTAAATAAAATACATTGAAAATTTATAAAGTAACATTGTTTCTCTCTTCATTCAGCTTTGATTTGCTACTTTTTGTAGGGTTGATTTTAATTTTATTTTACGTTGGGTTTAATTTTGATTTATTACAAGATATATTTTATATATTCCTACATAACTTAATTTTTTTACATATTTTACAAAACAACATATTTCTATTATTTCATAAAAATATTTATTAATTTGTAAGTATTTTATTTATTTTAATACGCTTTGGATAGTAATTTTAATTAAAAAAAACCAAATGATGAATAATTATTAAACACAACCTCTTACACATTATTTTTCATTATATTATTCACTGTTCTAACTTTATATTCGTAAATGTATTATTAAATAAATTTTCAATACAAAAAAATACATTTATGAACCTCTCCAGAACTTCAATTTGTTTAACGAAGTTTGTAGAAATATTTGTTAATCAATAAATTTGTAATTACAAATTCTTCCAACTTTGGGTGTCTGGTAAATATTATATGGTATAAGGTTTATTCAAATATATACAGGGATTAACAAATGAAATACATACAATATATTAAAAACTGTATACCATATAGCAAATATCAATAAAATTCTAATTTTAAAACTAATAAAGGTTATAATTATTTTTTGTTGTTGCAATGTGCTCCAAAAGGAAATAGGAGGAACGACATAATCCACACAAGGGTCATTTAAACTAAATGGGACCCAGAAGTGTTTCGATATTGTCTTTCTATTAAATTTCATTTCTGACATGTGTAATACATCGAAAGACTACGATAAAAACTGTGACGGTGAGGCGAAGTACGAAAAAATCAAATATATTCGATATTCTCTTTTAGTGTATGGCAGAAAAAAAGTAGTAATAGTCTTAGACTACTCTCCGCTGGAAGATTACTGTAATTTTGACATCCATAAAATGATTTACTGAGGGTTTATATACTGACCAAATTAAGTTATTCGACAGGAATTACATTTCTTTATTTTATTTTAGATATTTTAATCGAACATCTATTAAATACCAGACATTTAAAATTATCTAACCAATTTTATTTGAATTTTATACTATGTTCAGACACACCTTAATTTCGCAAAAGTCTTAATTTCATCTTCCTTTCAGCGAAATTAAGTTATTTTTTCCATACAAAATTCAGTTTTAAGGTTTGTTCGACATTAAGGAAAATGGCCTTAATTTCATTGAAAAGAAGACTGAAATTAAGGGATATTTTTTTTAAAATAAATGTCAGTGACAGTTGACTTTAATAAAACCGGGAAAATATTTTGAAAGTAGTGCAAATTTTTAAATTTAAATATAGAGAAAAAACTGTAACTGTTATTAATTTAAAATAGAGTGAAAAATAGTAATTACACAAATCTGAAATCCACTAAAACTATTCAAACTACAGAATGCCATCCTTTATAGCTATAAAAATAAACTTTAAAAATTTTCCAGATACAAATGGTGGTTAGAGGATGTAATTCTTAACATTCGATTTGTAAATAAAAAACATATGATTTCGTTAATTTGGGGCAGTATGAACACTTTCATAATTAATTTTATTTAATTTTAACGAAATTAAAAAAATTTGGTTGTCTGAACATACGAGGGCGGTTTTATAAGTCAGTGGATAAGTCAGTGGACAACTTTTTAATTTTAAGCAAGCTACGTCGTTCAAAGCAATCAACCTCGTGAACTTTTACGAAAATGGAAAAGAGTGATTTTCGTGTGCTGATTAAGCATTGTGGCCAAAATCTACGAATTGGGATACGAACTGCTACCCCATCCAGCATATTCCCCAGATTTAGCCGCCTGCGACTATTTTCTGTTCCCAAACCTAAAGAAATGGCTGGGCGGTAAGAGATTTAAGTCGAATGAAGATGTCATTACCGAAACAAACGAGTATTTTGAGAGCTTTGAAAAACTTTAGCTTAGGAGGGAATAAGAAAATTAGAAAAACGCTAGACTAAATTTATCGAGTTAAAATGTGATTATGTAGAAAAGTAAAATGTATATTTGCCGAAAAAATTTGTTTTATTCAAAAAGTCACTGACTTATCAAACCACCCTCGTAGTATTATGAAAACCATACTCATAACTCTCAATTTAATTTCTGAAATTTTAGTAAACTGGTATGTGGTTTCGTAGGTTTAAAGACACTTAAAAACGTACATTAAATTTTGAGATATATTCGATAAAATATTAACAATTTCTTAAAATTCCATAATTCTATAAAGAATTTTTGTAGAAATTAAGTTTTAATTAAATATAAAGCATTTCATTTAAAAATTGTTTCTTAAATTATATTGACTGCCTTTTCTGTGTCTATTCACAAAATTATTTATAATACTTTTTTCAGATAAGCAATAAAGAAATGCTTTGTGCAATTCTATTCATCCATGGACATATGTAACACATGTAAAGCAGTAATTAAATATCTTACATTCATTTACATATCTATGAACCCGTATACATACTACATACTCCTTTTTTATGTCATTTGTAGAAAGATGGATAGAAAAGCAACAGATGTGTTGGCACTATTAATTAGAAAGCAATTTTTCCTAGTCTATACCACATTTTCCTAGTGAATGCGTTACGCATAGAAGGAGATAGGATCCTACCAATAATATCCAATAATACGAATGTGCAAATGTATGCAGATATATATACATATATATATCTATATATATTTAACCACAAATATGCACAAAGTTGATGTATGTAATTTGACTCAATTCTGTTAAGATTAATGATGATGAATGTTAATAATTGCCAGTATGGAAAGAAACCCCACATATCAACAGCAAAAAAATATATGTAAGATATGTCAAGGATATCAAATCAATAACTGGTATTAGTGGTAAGGAAAAGAATATTTGGTATTAATTGCAGCAACTAAGGCAATAACAGTAATAAATGAAAAATAATTAAAGAAAAAATTGCAAGTAATTAATATTTTCCTTATTGACCATAGATGAGCAAGTAAAAATTCAAATGCTTTAAGTATTTTTATATATGATATAAAACAGTGTTTCTTAACCGCCGATATACGGATCGAACGGACATATATAAGTGTCACCGGCCGGAAAAATATAAATTTTTCTTTGAGTATTTTCAAAAATCTCAAAATTAAAATTTAAAAGGGTGGAGTTTTTAAGAATACTTGATATATAACATTTATTGGTGTTTCACTATACCCGTAATTTAATATGAAAAATAATAATTGTTTAAAAGCCAAAAGTTCATATGATTCCGTAATATTACATGCTTTTATTTTATGGAGAAAACAAATGAATAATTATTGGACACAATTATTGTTATTGATATGGGATGTGGCACTGCGGCCGTCGGGTCCATTGTACCCCTTTTTGGGTTTAGAGTAAATCTCTAAACTCTGTTGCTTCGATACGAGGTTCACTATTTATATTTTGAGCCTAATAGTGACAAAATACTAACTTATCGTTGAAAATTGCTTAATTGTTTCTCGAAGTATTCTTCTTTATGATTAATACACTTTTGTATGCGTTCGAATCATACGTCAAAGAATTTTATTTTCTAATCTTCAGACACCTCCAATACATGGATTTTAAATGCAACAACTTTTTCTTCCGCCGACAGAAATCTCTGAACGCAGAATAGCGTTCAGTAGTCTTCGTAGCGTATGGAACTCAAATGAAATACCTCCTAAAATAGAAATTCATGTTTACAATGCCTGTGTAGAATCCATCCCATTGTATTGATCAGAAACTTGATTGATCAACAGTGAAATACAAAGAAAA